CCCTGCTCAGCAGGGAGTCTGCTTCTCCCTCTGACCCTCCCCCCTCTCATGTGCTCTCTCTCTCTCAAATAAATAAATAAAATCTTTAAAAAAAATAAAATATTTTAATGTCAATGTTCTACTAATTACCAGTTGATTCCTACATTGTTAGTGTTCTAATATTTCAGTGTAATAGTTCACATTTACTACCTTGTAAAAATAAGTTTTCCACTTCACTTAGAGTTTTAGAGTAAGATCCTGAAGTATTTCTCACTGTTACTACCATCCCCTCCCCTGTCATGCCCACTCCTCCATGGCTGGCCCAGCTCCTATCAGTGTTCTTTCTCCTCTGAATGATTAAGACTTACAGTTTGTATGGGGAAGAAAAATCACAGTGAACTTATATTCTTTACAATGCTTATTATTTTTGGAGGCACGTTCATTCGCATGATACACCTTCATTATACAGCACCAAGAATGGTGCCTGGGACACAGGAAGTCTTCTATAAGCATCATTTACTATTACTACCTGAGAACAAGTCTCATGCCTCTTACTTGCTTGGGTATCTCCTAACCGCTGTCCACCTCAGCACCAAATAGACCAAATTCACAAACCTTCAGTCTGTCTTTTGAAAAATGTCACTGTAGTGTTGTGTTAAAGTCTCATATAATACTTAGGAACTTACAGAATTTTATTAGAGAATACTTACTGAGTTTTTATTGTACTAAATGCCTTCTTTTGCAATCAAAAGACCTGACCCACCCCGAGAGATTTGTTTTGTTGATTCTTATTTTTTCCCCTCTTGTGTTAACAAGTGAAAAATAAACCAGTGGCTAGAAATGCAAAACTGAATCGAGTGTCAGCCGTATCTACAGCATGGGAATGTCTTCACAGGTACACAGACATACAGCTCTTGCAGCAAATACCCAGTCCCAACAGAACATGCACACGACAACTCTTGCACGAGCTAAAGGGGAAATTCTGAGAGTCATTGAGATTCTTATTGAAAAAATGCCCACAGATGTTGTGGATCTTCTTGTGGAGGTAAGAATATCCTGCTATTAAATATTACAGCAACAATCTAAATTAAATATGTCCGTGTAGTAATACGAATCAGCATTTTAATTTCCAAAAAAATAAAAGAAAGAGAATTAAAAGAATTATCTACAGGAAAGAGAGAGAGATAATTAAATGAATTAACTTTTGTACCATTTCTAGGGTCCTTATTTAAATTCGTTAAAGATCAAAATGATTACTGTGTACACTTACCAATCATAGGGAAGTGTTCTGTATTGGAATAATTGTTAAAGGGTATGTTCTCTTTAATGTCTTTCATTATAAGTAAAACAAAGGATGTAGTGTGCTTGAATAAAAGCTGCCTATATTGTTCATAAATATGAATTGCTTTTGAAGTCAACAAGTCTCGTTTCTTTATTTTACTGCTCTTCTGTTTTTCACAAATAAGGAAAAGGATATCCTGTAGTATAAAGTAACTATACTGTAGCTTTAGTAAATATACTATAGTTTTAAAGTAAATATTGCAGGGGCGCCTGGGTGGCTCAGTCGTTAAGCGTCTGCCTTCAGCTCAGGTCATGATCCCAGGGTCCTGGGATCGAGCCCCGCATCGGGCT